ACACACACACACACACACACACACAGAGTCAAAGGGTATATACATTGGTTTGGATCACCTGCCTGTCTCTATGACCTCAAGAAGGTCCCTTTGACCTATTTAAGCCACAGTTTTCTCATCTGTAAAATGGGGTTGATTGTGGGGAAAAGTGAATGAGTCACCAGGTGTTCAAGCATTTGACAAACTGGAAAATACCAAACCAATACTGGTTGTGGGTGCTCATTACCTGTTCTCCCTTTCTTCACGAGGAGGGGAGTAGATGTCACTCAGAGCATCTGTGCCAGTGAAACCAGAGTGGCACACTTGTCCCACATGAGCAGGATGGTGCCGAGCAGGCAGCTCTCCTCGCCGTTCTCCTGTGTCTAAATAGGGAGGCAGGAGAGTGTGAAGGGCTTCCTGTAGGGCTGTCACCACTTCTAGGGACTAAAAAAACACCCGTGAGCTCACTGGGAACTGCTCAGGGATAGCATTTTGTCATCTTCAATTCTGATGTGCAGGAAAGGGATGGGTGAGGGAAAGAAGCTACCCGGGAGGAAGGAGTTGAGGTGGCCAGGACTGTGATGGGGTGGGAGGAATTTTATTAAAGATTTGGAAAAATTGGAAAGTTCTCCTCCTTGAGCGGTGGGAAAGGTGTCTCAGAGAAGTCGCCTGTGTCTGCAGGAAGTTCCTCCCCTACCTTGGCCCCGAGTCCAAGTGGGTGTCATACCGCGAGCCTCGGAGAGCACTGTCCCCAGAGCACACCTTCCCTAGCAGCTGTGATGTTGGAGCTGGCATGGGGCATTTCTACAAAGTCTCTGTGGTGGGTCCAGGAAGTGTTGTCACCACTGCACTGTGTTTTAAAAGCCCACCTGAGCCAAAAGTGAAAATGGGGAGATTCTCCCAGAACAAAACACAGGTTTGGCATCCCTTCAGAAAAAGAGACAAATGAGAAACAGAGGCTGCAGTCCCACCTGGCAGCAGGGGCTGGGGAGGGGTTCCCCTCCCCCAGCTTGCCACAGCCCCCTCCCCCTGCCATTGTTTCCAGGATTTTATTCTTAAAATGAACACTATGTTGAACATTCTAAAACAAATATGGGATCCATCTCTGATTTTTTTTTTTTTCTGTTACCTGCCCAGCCCAGACAGGCAGCTGTGTCTGGGCCCCTGCCAGGTAGTGTGATTAAAGGAGCGCCTCTGGAGTGAGCCACCATGTTCAAATCTCGTTCTCCTGCATGTACTTACGGGAGGAAGGTGTGCAACCCCCTTGCACTCGGTTTCCTCAGTTGTGAAATGGGCTTGATGGGCAAGGCCCACTTCAGAGGATGTTGGTGGAAAAGACGGAGGGCCTCATTAGGGGAGCATCCGGCAGGTGCTCCAAAATGCACAGAGCGGGCATGCAGCACCCCACACACACACACACACACACACACACACACACACACACACACACACACAAGGGCTTTGGAGAAAGAGCTTCTGCCAGGATGGTGTCAGTAGGGCCAAGAGCAGCAGTATCTAGAAGGATCCCAAAGCCAGCAATGGTTGATGCTCCTTGATGACAATCTCCCATCGCCATTTCAAGCTGTCACCACCTTTACAAGCTTGTTGGCCGGCCGCTTATGACACCCAGCTGCTGAAGGTCTAATCGTGACTCTGGCCATTGAGCACCTGCAGAGTGAGAATCTGGACATCTCAAGCCATGCCCGGATAGGAGTGCTGGTGGACAGGCACTGAGCCTTCGCTACATGCCAGGCCCTGTTCTAAGGTGTCCGTAGGCAGCAACTCATTTGCACTGCAGATGGGTTCTCTGAGGGTTCCTGTCTTAAAACGGGGCTTTGAGACACAGAAGTTGAGGAGCATCACTGAAGTCACGGAGCTGGGCTTCAGTGGCATGTCTAGTTCTGGAGTGGGCTCTGTCATCTCCTGCCACCTGCGCTCCCCTCCTTCCCGAGGCCGCCTCATTGTGCTGGGCTGAGGGGCTGCACCAGTGCTAGTGTCCTGTGGGACTCAGGCCTTCAGGGACTCCTGGGACCAGGGGCACCCTTGCCTGGGGTCATGGAGGAGGAGCTGCCAGGGAGATCTGGGTAACAGATCTCACCAGCCCGCCCTGTGCCCTTGACCCCACCCCTCAACAGGGAGGAAGTTTTGCTGCCTCCTGTTTCGGAGGTAGAGGTTGAAGGTCAAATCCAGGAGACCAGTCCCCAAGTGGCCTGCTCACCTGGAGGTGCAGAGTTCTAACCAGCGAGCGGACGGGTCTGTGTTTGTCGTGGACACTGAGGAAGAAGGTGGAGCGCACTGGGGCAGCATGAGTCACGGAGCTGGCCAGACGCTTCCTTCCTCCTTGGCCGGGGTGATGGGGACTCTGAGGCCCTGTTGGGAAGCCCAGTCTCTTGGACTCTCTTCCTTCTTACAAAGCTGCTAGTCCCTGGGCTCTTTCTCTAGATGGCATGCTCGTGTGGGCGCTGCCTGGCCTTGGCCCCAGCCTGGTTCTGCATGGTTCTTGGGCTGCAGCTCCCCCATGGGAGGTGCACTTACCGGATCCCCCCTTAACTCCTTGCCTCAC